TTCTACCCGCCTTCATGCCTGAGGCAGACTAGTGCGTCGATGCCAGCTTTTAGCGCGTCGAACCCAACTACTTTCTGGGGTTTTTCTAGTGTATATCCGCGGCGACAACGCCCCAAATAAATCCCGCGCGACTTAACGTAGTTTTGTCGCGTTCTCGTTATTTACCTCAATATCTTCTTGCATATTTCTGAAACGACAGGAATGAAGAAATGATCTTTATTGTAGGCTAGTTACGAAGCACTAGGCTGAGGAAAGAAGAAGAAGAAAACAGCGATTTACTGCATGAAGCAGTAAACAAACCCACTGCGTGGGACAAACGAGTTAAACAGTGCAAACTATACAAACACCCCCCCCCCCCCCCCCCCTTGGTATAGGCGTTCCTGCATGCTCAGGAGTCAGGACGTCACACTAACTAACTAAGGCTTTTATTGCCCACCCTACATCACGGAATGCTCAACTAGCGACTTGTCACCTTCACCTGTTTTATTGGAAATTTGGCCGCTGCTAGTGTTGACCTTCCGCGATGACCGAACATTTTGAAAAATCCGACAAAATTTGTGTGCTAGTTGAACGATGAATGCCCGTGATGATTTTAAGAGTTATCCTGACGGGATTTTTGACGGCTTTGACAGAAGAGTCTATATTAACTAGTTATATGAATATTATCAAAATGAATGAAGGTCTTGATTCTATTTGAAATACGCGAAAATGAAGCCATATTTATGTAATTTCAGAAGCTTCACGATCAAGATTGAATGCAGCGGAAACACATGACTATATTTCCACAATCATACAATTAATACCGATTAGTAGCTCGAGCGATCGGCTGGCACGATCGGCTGAGCAAGGTGATGAAATGATCACTTAGTCATTTCCCGCGGCCACATCTCCATAGTTAGGGGATCTTATTGCCTATCTAATCGCCTATCTTTATCTCCAAGGAAATCCGAGCAGTTGCCACTAGCTGCACCCTTGGCAGCGGAGAACCGTTATCTGCCAAGTTCTAAATCCCACGCAATCAAACTTCTGTTAACTCCGCAAGGTATACGTGCTATAATTTTGGTGACTTAGGGAAGATTCTTCAGTCAACAAAGTGGACACCGGTTCTAGTCGAATGTTAGATCTTCTATGATATATAGCAAGCAGTTCCTGTTTCCATTTATCTTCGAGCTTTTTCTCACATCAACACTTCAAAGAAAAGAATCAACCATTATGTTGCCCATTTCGATATTGAAAGGGTCTATCACCCTAGCTGGTCTGCTATTCCAACCACAAAACATTACTGGCACTCTACCTGGCCTTGTAATCATCCACCCTGGTGGAGGAGTCAAAGAGCAGGCTGCTAGTGTTTATGCTGAGAAGCTTTCGCAGCAGGGCTTCGTCACTATCGCCTATGATGCTGCTTACCAAGGTGACTCTGGAGGCATGCCGCACTTTTTGGAAGACCCCAACTCTAGAGTTACAGACGCTTCCGCCGTAATCGACTATCTCGTGACGCTCGACTATGTTGACCCTGATCGTATCGCTGTGGTAGGAATTTGCGCCGGAGGAGGATACGCAGCTGCCGCAGCCAAGGGCGACCACCGCTTAAGAGCTGTTGCGACAGTCAGTGCAGTGAATATTGGCGATGGCAATCGGGAGGGCTGGCTTGGAACCGAAGATGCGGCTGGCAAGATTTCGGTTCTTGAAGAAATCACCGGGCCCATCCAAGCTGAAGCCATTGGTAGCAGACTGGAATACATCAATTACGTCCCCACAGTTCCCGATGAGAACACACCATATGACCTCAGAGATGCTGCCGATTACTACCTTACTCCACGAGCACAGCATCCCAACGCTCAGAATAAGATGCTCGTACGATCTCAACAACTCATCCTAAATTTCGACGCATGGGATTTTGCGGATATGTACCTCACTCAGCCAACCCTGATCATCTATGGAGACTTGGCGGAAAGCAAGTGGCACTCGGAGAGGCTCTACGACCGATTGCGGGAAAAAAACGGTGGAGTAAGTCTAGGGCTGTTCACGATACTATATAGTCATGGTTTTCCAATATCGGCAATAGTATCGTCAAACCCAAGGCTTGACT